GACTTCTCGGACCTCCGCTCTCAGTCGTCTCGGATGAACGAGCGGGTGAGTCGCAAGAACACAGAAATCTTTGTGATCCTCCTGGTGAGACATGCACACTTACACAAATTAAGTTTCAGGAGAATGGGTTTGGGGACGTTTTCCGCAGTTTTCCTCGGTCACGGGTAGCACCGAGAGTGTAACGACAGCATCAGACACGTTTGGAAAAATCCTCCGTGTGGGTTAGGGGAGAAAGCCGCCAGGACAGAGCAGGAAGGAGGCGGCACAGATGACGCCCACTCGCTCGGGAGAAGAATGTGATTCTCACACGAGCGGAGGCTGAGATCACAGAGCCGGCAGGTTGAAAAACAAGTTCAGCCTGAAAATGATATCACAATACTGCAAGCGGGGAAATCTGATATTTCTGACGATGTAGAGGAAATACCGCACAGTGTTTTATTGAAGCCTGCTAGACAACAGTATTTCTAAGTGTAGTTAAATAAAAGGCATTTTCATCCTTCCTTTGATGAGCTGCTGTCACTGATGACAGCACGAGTCAAATGTAAGCACAAAAGTAGCTGATGTTGTGCTTTCACAGGAGCGTTTAAGTAAAATTATAAAATAAGTGCTTCCCACTTTAGCATGACACTTCTTGTCATGCTGAGATTTTCAGTGGGAGTGAGCAGAATGGACAGGATTAGAAACGAGTCCGTCAGAGGGACGGCTCAGGTCGAGCTGAGATGGTGCGGACGTGTGCAGAGGAGGGAGAGTGGATATATTAGACAAAGGATGCTGAAGATGGAGCTGCCGGCCAGGAGGACATGCAGGGGTTGGTGTGATAGTGAGATGGAGATGATCCATTGTGATCACTCCTAAAAGAAGAAGCAGCTTGAGCTTCCTGTTGTATGGAGCACAGCTAACAAGCGCTCCAGGTCACATGGTCAGGTCTTTTAGGTCACATGTCTCCAGCTGCTAGCATCACCTCTTTGGTAGCCTGGTTGTACTCGACAGGTGTTTATTAATTTTTTCCCACACCAGTTTGTGTTTGGTTGAAGCGGCTCTTTTATTTTGGTACTAAATCGAAATCGCTGGCTGCCACACCGCTCTCACTGTCGGTCGTGCTCGGCCTTGTTTCGTCGCGCACGCTACGAAACATAAACGTGCAGCCAGTGTCACTATAGCGATGATGTCAAATAAAAATTCAGATGACATGCGGCAAAGCTGAGTGTCAGTTCATGCCAGCTGAGGATGATGGTAAAAACGGCAGGGTCTTGGGTAGGGCTGTTCGATATAACGATATATATCGGATGACGATATAAAAACG